AATAAACATCAAAATGACATAAACGACACTAAATATTATTCATTCTCATGTGTCTTGTGACCTCAATGATGTCAAGTCTACCACAATGCACCTTTACACACCATGTTCCAACACAATGAAGCCTTGGTTTCTATTGAGGGCAAATTCTGTACACATCAACAGACTTCTGACATTTCTCTACTGAAAAAGATTATTCCAAAACTAACCAATAATCTCTAACGCTTTCCGTTTCATTCTGAGCAGACGGCCCTTTCCAGGAACAACCAGGTCAGCTTTAACCATCGGCAATGTGCTGAAGACTGGACTGCCACAGGAAGTTAGGTGTGGTTACGTTCATTAACTTGAGAATCTGATTAAGAAGTTTATTGAGAGGATTCTCCACATGGGGATGTTTTGTTAGTCATAGATTTGTGCACGTAAAGATCATCAATGAGGCTCTTTTTCACATTTCCACCATCCTTCTAATTCACACTTAGACGATGGATGCAAATCACACCACATCAGTGACCGCAAAACCACAACACTGTACACAAAATTGAGAGACTGGATTATTACAAAAACATTTTATTTACTAAAGTCTTGGTGTATAAATCATAATATTTCTTTAAATCACAGCACTAAACACCATCTTCCCCTCAGCCATAATCATCACTAGCACTTCAGAGTTGCTGGTCCCAGAAGACCATTTTGTAAATGTCAGCGGACTGAAGTGGGACGGCCCAATTACAAGCCCATTTACAGCTTGCTTTGGCAAAACCGCCTCACAGGGACTCACATGCTTCATAAGATCATTATTATCTTTATGAGGCAAAGGCAAGCAGCAGGGAACAAGCAATAACATGGTAAACTTCAGATTCAGGAGAACCAAAGACCCCCTCCGACGAGTCTGAGCAGTTGGGGAGGTGCTCTCCATCGCTGTTTGTTTTTAAAAGAACAATGGTTTGCACCAACAGCTCAAGACGTCCTCAACCAGGATGCACACTTGCAGAGTCACTTGACTTGCTGGGTCTGATGCAAAAACAGCTTTTAATTTTAGTATTGCTTTGATATTTACTGTTTGGTTACCACCTGAAAGCATGACTAAACATGAACTGACAAGGGAAATTAAAAGGTGCAGCCGTGTCATGCAGTTTTTGGCATTCCCAGGAGAACAATTCAATTATCTCATAGATTACTTGAGGGAATTCATGAGTTCCCATCACTGGTAAAGAACTGTGAGCTATCCACAAAACTGAATTTATATGTATTGTCAGTGAATAATAAGACAATAGTTTTAAATGCAATTCAAGTTCAATCAAACAAAAGAAAACCAGGGGCTTTTTTCAAAGGGGTGACCTCCACACTGAAAGCTTCACTCGTAAATTGGGATCTGTTTTATGACAAGCCAGACATCTGTACCTTTGAGTGGTGCAGAAGGGCTCTAAAGGCCTGATGAAGGATCTTGAATGGGGGCAACTGAAGGCCTTTTCACTCCAGCCGTGGGAAGAGTCAGGGAGAAGTGTTATCTGAACTCTGAAACAGAATCTCAACCCCAGCCACTACCACAACCTTCAGTCCATTGGTGGCTTGCTAGGGGGCCAGAGTCTTTTCAAAGCAGGACAGAACCACTTTTACCCCTCAAAGAGACAGATACATGACCTCAAAGTCATGTCTCAGGATGATGTAACCATAAAATTATTCTGAACGAAATAAAAGTAAAGTAATACGGTGGATTACACTTAAAAGGGATGGTTCACCCAAAAATAGTGCATCCAAAACAACTCAAACAATTGATTTGATATTTTTTCACTATTTTCCACTCAGCTTTTCCGTTTTAATGCAAGTCACGTACGAAAGAATAGGAACTCTTCACGTTCTGTCTATGTGGTATGGGGAGCAAGAATGTTCTCCTGGTTGGTTGGCAGGCCAAGTTGGTTGTTTTGAGTTTTGTAAACAAGGAGAGATGCAACCTGTGGCTCAGATTAACTCATCGGGGGTGAGGCCTGGGAAAGAGAATGCCGGCCAGCCTAATCTCCCTTCCTGACTGAACACAAGCTTAAATGCAACGCTACTATAGTTCTGAGAATGCACTGTCGTTTCCCATTGACAATATTACAAAAGAACACTGGATTTGAACATTTTCTTTGCAAACTTTTCACATGCAATTGCAACATAGTCTCCTTGTGAGATACAAAGTCACAATTATATTTATATATTTTTTCACTATGATGTGGAAACAGGCTTCCATAAATTCTCAAGTGAACAGCTTAATAAACTAGACAAATTAGCCTTTTTGGATTTTCTTTAAATGACTCCATACACATGACTGACAGCATGGATGCTATGGCATGTCATGATGGGAGAAAGGTTGGGGGTGGAGTTGTAGCTCGGCAGACAAACTAAGGATCACTGAACAATCAGATGAAAGCTGCCTGGCAGGCGTTGGTCAAATGACGGGCATCTGAAGACAAGTGCAAACAAAGGTCTCTGTCTAACAGTATATGAAAGCCTGAAATAAATAGCAGAAGCAAGGAACCCAATGTTCTGTAACACTGAATAATAAAAATATCACATTTATATACTTTTAAAAATCATTTTGAATATCTGCTCACATCAAAAACACTTTTGAGAATGTCTAAAACACCAGTAAGCAACAAAAATAATAAAAAAATAAAAACATTCTTATCCATGCCTGGCACTTCTAGCTGACATTATCAGCTGTAAATAACAGACATTTTTCTGCTACAGCTACTAGAGGTAAGCTTGTCATCAATCTCCTGTCATGTGGCGGGAACAAGTTAAGAACCCTATTGTTAGTCTTGAGTGAATCTTGCTGATGGAATAGGCCTGTCCTGCTGAGTGAATATGTCTAATGTGTACTTTTATTACAATAGAATGATTCATGTTCTTAGCAGATGCATTTCACTATTATGCACAGGGCTTGCACCTATCAGAGACTTTTTGAAACTTTGCATTGAATTGCATGGTAGCATTCCACATTAGTAAGTCATTTAAAGGGGTCATATGATGTTGCTAAAATTAACATTATTTTGTGTATTTGGTGTAATGCAATGTGTTTATGTGGTTTAAGGTTAAACAATTTTTTCCATATAATGTACATTATTGTTTCTCCTCTATGCCCCGCCTTTCTCCCCGCAGTTGATTTTTACAAAGCTCATCGGTCTGAAAAAGCGAGGTGTGCTCTGACTGGCCAGCTATCCAGTGCATTGTGATTGGCCGAATGCCTCAAGCATGTGACGGAAATGTTACGCCCCTTAACATACTGTGATGCCGTCTCCCAGCAGGACGAGACAAAACCAATAAAACCCATTACAAATGAGGCATTTGTTGCATCCAGTGGGGACATAATTGCGGATTATAATGACTTATACTGTCTTTTTACGCGTTGCGTTGCGTATCGCGCTGCGTAAACATAAAACCATGTCTGCATTTGTGATCGGAGAAACAACAAGCCTACTCTACACTGCTCAAAACTCACGTTTGAATCATCAGTGGCAAATTATTTAAATATAACAAACGTACTTACAAGCTGTGAGTCAGAAGCTCCAGACTGTCCTTGCAAAGTTGGAACTTCCCAACTTTATAGAAACAGCCTTTGTGCCACAGTCCTCATCCTCCATAAAATGTGCAGCACACATCTGAATATTTGGGTTGAACTGTTCTGGAACAGTGTTGTAAATACAACTTAACCACTGATTTCTAGTTGTGTCCTCTTTTGGAAGGCCAAACAAAGTAGTTTCGCTTTCACAACGAAACA